ATATATATATATATATATATATATAGTTCATATATTTTATGTTTAATGTCCAGTTGCAATTTCCAACCAGAAAACACAATTAACAGTGGCGGATCCAGAAATTTGAAATCAAGGGGGCCCAGGAAAGAACTTTTACAGATGGAGAGTCCAAACGACCTCAGCCCCACCATGGTTGAGGCTGAGGCTGAGGCACAACATTGCATGGATATGGCAGTTCTAATGGCTGGAAATGGCACTCTCAGACTTCAATTTTGATATACTGTTATTTTTTCCATTTTTCTTAATTTTCAAAAATCCGCATGATTAAGGAATCTCCGTTGGGTACTGATCTCTGATGTAATCAATACGTCATTAAAACAAGGACTGGTTTATACTATTTCTTTGGTGTTTTCGAACACGTGCATAAGGCCTACAGTTCTTTTTAAAATTTACTTTGTGAAATAGATGCGCCTTGCATTTTAATCCTTGAAACTTTGACACACGCTCAGATTATCGGATTCTTCGAACCATTGCATTGTGTGGTAGATTATGTGAACGTAATGACGATACTCGATATTAACTTATCTTCGACCACCTGAACATTCTGACGCCTCGTGCTGTTGACTCAGTTGACTGGAGCCCCTTGAACTTGCTGATAATTAAGCCTATAGAGCGTAGTACTTTCGTGACCTATGTGCCTGGGTTCAGTGGCGGATTCAGGGGGTGGAAAAAGAGAGCGTTCCCCTCGCACCACCCTTGCGACAAAATTCTAGATCCGCCACTGGGTTAAAATCAATTTAATTATTTTTTAATAGGGTCCTAATCAGTATATAAGTTCAATCTTTAGAAGCATATTTATAGAATTATAATACAATCGAAAATCAACTTCTAGACTGGTTGTTTTGTGGTTCTTTATATAATAAAATATTATTCAGATATAATTAGCGTTGTAAACCACCGCGCAAACGAATGCCAAAAATAGGCACACACACAGCACGTGTCGGACACTCGCTGGCAAAGTAACACGCGAATGACTCGTACCGCACGCTCGATCTATAGGCCATCAAAAGAGATGTCTGTTGACGATTGATGAACTTCCGTACAAAGAAACGCTTTTTATAGAATGTTACGTATGCATTGACCCAGGCCTAGCCTGTATAGCTACTGTACACACATAATTGCTTTGAACGTGGTCCACCAATCAACAAATCAAATACAATAAATAACTTAAAGCCAGGCTCCGGAGGAAAAAAAAAGAAGATATGTTGTAAGGCCCTACTTGTGATTTTTCTAAGACACCAACAGTGTATAACCACACTTTCGATTCTCCCCCACGCCCCTCAGTTTGTTAATATTTAAAAAAAATCTGTATCTTACATATACTAACCGTTTACGGGTTTTTCGTCAAACACGATTTCGTGATGTCTGTTGACGATTGATTAACTTCCGTACACAGAACGCTTTTTATAGAATGTTACGTTACGTATTGAACCAGGCCAAGCCTATATAGCTATTGTACACACATAATTGCTTTGAACTTGTGTCTGCAACTGATCCAACGTATTTTTTTAATTTAGATTCTTATCATTTGATTCTTATCCTTTTCATCAGTATGATAATAACTTTTTTTTATTAGTCTTGACGAGTGTAACCTATATAAGTGATTACACTGCTTAAAAAATAAATAAAGAAAATACTAATAATAATAATTGTAATAATAATAATATGAACAATAAATAAACAAATATGATTTACCGATATCGAAAACTCCATTGTTTCATTCAAAAAGAATCATTTAAACTCCTAAATGTATGTCCAAAATATTTTTGAATATAAAAAGTAAAAAAATTAATAAAAAATTAAGAAACCTAGACATGCCTAACATACGTATGTGGGTCTACCTGACCTAACGTGATTTGTAAGATTACGTAGGCCTACTGTCACCACATGGGCTAATTTCAGCTCGATAACTTATCAAAATACTTTGGATATTCTGTTTTAACCCATTTGATGCACTGCCATAAAATGAATACTTACCGTAATGGTTGAAATGAAAGAGAAATAAAGTTTTATTAGGCCTCCTTAATTTGTATATCTGTGATTTTTCCATCCGTCTTTGTTATGCATAATCCACTTTATTGATTTGTTGATTGTGAAGTTCATGTATTTTTGATGGTCTCATCTCT